AAGAATTCAAGATACTAAAGAGCTGAACAGAAGATTCCAAAAGGCTGCTCGGAATGACAAAGCAAAATACTACAATGAAATGTGCGAGGAGCTAGAGCTAGACATGTCTGATAAGGGACTTATATCTAGAATTTATAAAATAATCGAGCACCACATCAAAATAAAGGGAAACAACCCAATTGCAAAATGGGCACAGGACATGAACAGACACTTCACCAAAGAAGACATTCAAATGGTGAGCAAACACATGAAGAAATGTTCAAAATCCCTAGCTCTAAGAGAAATGCAAATCAAAACAATCATGAGTTATCATTTCATGCCATAGCAAAATTTAACAGAGCAGTAAACAACAAACGCTGACAAGGTTGCCAAGAAACTGGAACCCTTATTCATTGTTGGTGGGAATATAAAATGGTGCAACCACTATTTAAGGTAGTATGGCACTTTCTCAAAAAGTTGGAAATAGAAATATCATTTGATGCAGCAATTCCACTACTGTGAATATACCCTACAGAAACAAAAACTGCCTCCCAATCAGATATACACACACCTTTGTTTATTGCAGTTTTGTTCACAATAGTAAAGAATTGGAAACAATCCAAGTGCCCATTAACAAACAAATGGATAGAGAAGCTGTAATATATTCACACAATGGAATACCATGCTGCATTGAAAACCAAGGAATTCATGCAATATAAAAAATGGGTGACCATAGAAAATATTATGCTTAATGAAATATCTCAGTCACAAAATGACAAATACTGCATAGTACTATTGTTGTAAAGTGGGACTGTCATCGAGGTTGTGGGGAAACTAAGAGGGGATAAATAATGTATACTGCATTGAAATAATTGAGGGAGATAATTATTTAGCAAGACTATATCAGATGTTATTGTCTTGAAAAGAGTATAGAATGAAAGCTTCATAGTGGAGTGGACTGGGAGGGGGGATAGTATAACAATGAAAGTAGTTTTTATTTCTTTTTTTACTTTTCAAAGTGAAAAGCAAACTGGGGGGAGGGTGGGCAGGGAGGAAAGTGTACAACAACGAATGAGTGGAAATCCAAAGTCTCTGTAAACTTTGATTAAAAGAATTAAAAAATTTAAAGAGAATTAAAAAATACAGCTGAACAAATAACCAGCATTATGATAAAAGGAGATAATTGTGAAAAAAAGATTGTAATTGTCAAGGATTTAATTTACTTGATCTGTACAATCAATACTTGTGGAAACAGCCATCAAGAAATCTAACAGTTGGCATACATAATGTTTAAGCTCCCATTCCTTTCAGATTTACTGTCCATTCAATTAACAATATGGAATAGGACATGCACTTCAAATGAATTGAGAAGGGTATAGGGAGAAAAAGGCATATGAATGGATGAATTAAAAAAGCATTTCTTTGTATACTTTCATGAAAAACCACAATAAAATGAAAAAATTAAACTCTATAATTTATGAAGCTATTTGCATATACATATATAATTTCGGGGGGAAGATAAATCTAACAGATAAATCTACTGCAAAGGTCTTCTTTCAAGTGTTAAAGAATATAGGTATTATTTTTAGGATTAAAGTGTGCCTAATCCAAGTCAAAATGAAGCTATTGACAATGTCAATCTCCTCTCCATCCATCATGGCACTGCCTATTGGTCACAGTGGTAAAAATCTTTGTTTTCTTGATATTGAGACACAATCCATACTGAAGGTTGCATTCCTTGATTTTCTGCAACAAGTACTTCAATTCTCCTCACTTTCAGCAAGCAAGGTTGTGTTGTCTGCATAATGCAGGTTATTGATGAGTCTCCTTCCAATCCAGATGTTACATTCCTCTTCATAGAATCCAGCTTCTCAAATAATTTGCTTGCTCAGCATATAGATTGAACAGGTATGGAGATAGAATACAATACACTCCCTTCCCAATTCCAAACCATGTAGTGCTCCCCTGCTCTGTTCACACAACAGCCTCCTGATCCAGGTAGAGGTTCCTCATAAGTACAATCAAGTGCTCTGGGATTCCCATTCTTTTTTTTTTTTTGTCATTTTTTAAAATTATTGTTATTTTTTGTGTGTACCGTCAAATCGGATCTGACTGGTACAGGAGGACATTGTCCCTCCTTCTTCAGTAGAGAATCTGGTGGATTCGAATCACGTACCTCTGGGTTTACAGTGCACCTTCTTGCCACTAGGCCACCAGAGCTGCCCTGGGATTCCCATTTTTAACGTCAGACACAACTTATCATGATCCACACAGTCAAACATCTTTGCATAGTCAATAATGCACAGATAGACATTCTTCCGGTATTTCTTTCTTTCAGCCAGGATCCATCTGACATCAGCAATGATATCTCTGATGTCATAGCCTCTTCTAAGTCCCACTTGAATTTTTGGCAATTTCCTATCTATCTACCGTTCCAATGGTCTTTGAATGATCTTCAGCAGTATTTTGCTTTTATGTGAAATCAATGATATTGTTCAATAATTTCCACTGTTAGCTGGATCACCTCTCTTGGGAATAGGAACAAATATGGACCTCTTCCAATCCATTGGCCAGGCAGCCATCCTCCAAATTTCCTGGCATAGACTAGTAAGTGTATCCAAAGCTGAGTTTGTTAATTGAAACAAGTCAATTGGTATTTTATCGATTCTGGGGCCTTGTTTTTGGCCAGTGCCTTTAACGCAGCTTCCACTTCCTCTTTCATTACCATTGGTTCCTGTTCATATGGTACTTCCTGAAATTTTTCAGTGTTAATATTAAATTTTTTCTGGTACAGTGACTCTGTGTATTCCTTTATCTTCTTTCGATGGATGGAGAAGAGACTGAGACTGTCAACACATTCATCTTGCTTAGATCCACGATTAACACTCTTGGTATAAGCAGTCAGGAACTATGGAGATGCATTGCACTGCAAAAATCTGCAGTTAGGGACCTTTCCAAATTATTGAGGTGTAGGGATGTTAGTTTGAGGACTAACGTGCATCTGATTCAGGCCATAGTCTTTCTGATTACTGTGCATGTGAGACCTGGACAATGAATAAGAATGAGAGAAAAAGAATTGACGTCTTTGAGCTGTGGTGTTGGAGAAGGGTGCAGAACATTCCATGGACGGCCAAGAAAATGAATAGATATGTCTTGGAAAGGGTGTAGCTGGAGTGCCCTTTGGAGGCAAGAATGATGAGGCTTCACCTCACAGACTTTGGACATATTGCTAGGAAGTGCTTGCCTTGGAGAAGTCCATCATGATGAGAAGAGTGAAGGGTTGGCAAAGGAGAGGAAGACCCTCAACCAGGTGAATTGGTCTGGTGATTGCTGCACTGGGCTCTTGTGTGTCAGAAGTGTGATGATGGTGCAGGACGGGACTATGGTTGAAATCTTTTGTTCTCAGGGTCACTATGAGTCGTACTCAACTGAATGGCAACTAATAACAACAACAGTTCAAGTCATGGTATTTTTCAATGGCCTCATATGTATGCAAAATCTGGAAAATGAATTATGACCAAAGAAGAAACGAAACTTTTCAATTATGGCTCTAAGTAATCCTCCAATCCTGATGCCATACTTTTACTCATATAGTTAAGTACTCATTTGATTTCCTCTTCTAGCATCTTTGACTCACATAATCTAACTTCTAGAAAAATCAGAGATGGTAAAAATATATTTCTGTTAAGAAGTTTTCTATTATGACAATGCCATGCCCAAAAGACACAGCAAAAGGAGAAATGAAAAATATGAATGTTGTTACCTAATTATTTTAATTAAAAGAAACTTCCATAATACTAACTTTAAAGTTATTTGGAGATTAATTATAACCTATTGGTGGGGGAACTTTTCTAAATGTATATATTTACATTTTGTATTTGTATGCAAGAGCTTTGGGGTAGAGTGCATTACTGTTATACTGATAATTTAGAAGTCGACAGTTTGAATGCATCAGCTTCTCTATGCAGAAATGATGGAGAGTCTCTTGTGGTAAAAATTTACAGTTTTAGAGACTTCATGGAATTTTGAAATCTATTTAACAGCAGTGGGTTAGTTCATTTATGCATAGAGAGCCAGAGATGATTCTATCTACTTTCAATCACGGGGTGATGTGTTTCCCAACCTTTGTCTTGATTTTTTAACATTTCCTTCTGTGCAATTCTTTCAGCATTTCCCACTACTAACCCAGCATTTGCACGTTTCCTATCTCTGAGCGGCAATGCTCTCATTAGAGCTGTAGTTTGACATCGCCATTCTCTGCTGATATTCTTGGATGCTGTCTGAGCGATGTTTGTACAGCTGTACCCTGCATTTTCCAATCAAGAGAGGCTAGGGAATACACTAATGAGCTTTTCACGCAAACCCAGAGAACATGCCCAGGTAAGAACTTGTGCCTTGAGTTTCTATTTTCATTTCTTCCTGACACAAGTTTTTTAGCCAGACAAATATGTCAATTTGAGTATAGTCAGTGTCAGTAATATACTCTCTTACTATTTGGACTTGGTTTTCAAATATTTTGCCAGAGACAATTAAGGCAGAACTTTGTTTTGGAAATACTGCAGAGTTCTGGATAATGTTTTGCAGGATTACAGTACCAAGCACAAAATTCCCAACCAAATTTATTTCTAATGAAAAATAACAACTAGGCATACAGAATGCTTCTGAGAGGATTGTCTGCCACAGAAGTACCAGACAGCACACAGTTCATCTGCCAGGTGGGTGACGGTTCAGATCTCCCACTCCTGCATGTTCTTTTAGAGGGATGAATAGAGAGACTGTGAGGTTTTGGATGCGGATCAGGTTAAAGGGATAAACTAGCAAGGTCAGCAGATACTATGGCAGGAGATAGACTATTAGCTGCTGATGCCTTAGAGGAGTAACTGTGAGGGCCGTCAGACTGAAGCAAATTAAAATATCAGCATTTCTACCAGTAAAGTTGGATTAGAGAAGTTGACTTAGATGTGAGGTTACCAAGAACCTACTGACACTGAATCTTGGATTTAAGTTACCCAACTTGTCATGGCAAATGCTGGAAAATCACAGTCCTCCTTCACAGAGACTGACTTTGCCTTTGTAACGATCTCATCACAAAACAGGAGCAGACTGAAAGAGAAAGAGAGAGGCCTGAGCACGCTCTGTTCCTTCTTTGAAATGAACCTCTCTCTCATTTTGGAGGAATGTGCACAAGAAGTAGACAGTGAGACTATATTGCTAGCAGACACCCTTTCACAGGGAGAAATGAGGCGTGGTTGGAACACAAGCCACAAGGCTGGGCTGCTACATTTGAATTTCAATATAATGCCAAAACTACTTAGGATAGGATAGTCCTTAAGACGCTTTTAAAACTTCCTATGTCTACTTATTTCCAAAGTAAGTTAGCAGCATGTTGTTAAAAACATAGTAACAGCAACTTATTGTCTACTTCTGCACAAAATTTCTGCTGTAGTCATACTGAACTACTCCTGGTGCTTATGTTCTTAGCACTTCTGTTGCCTTTGCTTGCAGTGCTCTTCCTTCGCCTTTTTCATTCAATACCTCTTACTAGCCTTTCCACCTAACTTATTCTTGGTATGATTTTAGTACTCAGCTCAATAGTCTTCTCTGTGAAAGCTTCCCTAGCCTATTCTGGATAATCCATAGTCCCAGTGCTAAACTTTTTCATTGTCCCCTAATTGTAAATGTCAACAGCTTCTTTATTAGTATAACTCATCAAGGGCCAATTGAAATATTTATCTTCTTAGATTCTATTGCATAGAAATGGCCTACTGATTTGAGGCCATAAAAATAGAAATGTTTAGTTGGGTATTAATGTCAAATGAATCTTGGCAGATAAGAGAGAACATCAGAAAAAATATTTGTGTTTTATTGACTATGCAAAGGCACTTGACTGTGTGGATCATAACAGATTATGGCTAACATTGTAAAGAATGGGCATTCCAGAACACACAGTTAAATGAGCATGATTAAGTGCTCATGTAAAACTATCCCTACGCCAAGGAAGAAGCTATTGGTTGAACAGAACAAAGGAACACTACATGGTTTAAAATCAGGAAAGGTGTGTATCAAAGTTGTAGCCTTTCTTTATATCAGGTGAATCTGTATGCTGAGAAAATCACTTGAGAATCTAGACTATATAAAGATGAATGAGGCATCTGGATCAGAGTAAGACTCATGAAAAACTTGTGTTATGCAGATGACACAATCTTTGCTTTGTTTAAATCATTTGCTGCTGAGGGTCAAAAATGCCTTCAATATACATTACATCACAACATCAAGAAAACAAAAATCCTCACCACTAGACCAATAAGGGAATTCTGGCAGCCTCATGGTAAAAAGCTGTGCTGTCAACCTGAAGGCATGCAGTTTGAGTCCACCATCTTCTTCATAGAAGAAAGATGAACAATTTCCTTCTGTGTAACTTGCTGCCTCTGAGAACCCACTGACAGGTCTGCTATGGGCTGGTTCTGACTTGACAGTACATAACAACCAATCAGCAGGCAAGAGCAAGGATATCAGTTTAAAGATTAAGCCACTCAAGGTGTGCTCTTTTCAATTACTTCATATGCATCTGAAGGTTAGACAAGAGATAAGGAAGACTGAAGAAGAGTCAATGTCTTTGAACTGCTATGATGGCAAAGACTACTGAATATATCACAAACTGCCAAAAGAATGAACAGGTCTGTGTCAGAGAAAGTGCAACCAGAGTGCTTCTTAGAGACATGGTTGGTGAAACTTCATCTCATATACTTTGGACATGTTGTCTGGAGTATCCAATCCTTGGAAAAGATATCACATGCACAGAAAGGTGAGAGGGGAAAAGAGGAAAACCCTCCACAAGACTGATTGACACAGTGACTATTAACAATAGGTTCAGGCATATCAGAGATGATAAGGATGATTCAGGATAGAACAAATTCAGATCTTTTTTCCAAAGAGTTGCTATGAATCATAGTTGACTCAATGATGTCTAGCAACAACAAGAACAACAACAATAGATAGAACTTCTGGGAAAACTTTTTTAAAAGAGCCAGAAAGACTCCTCTTTGTTCTTTTTTTTTTTTAAACTTAGAATATTAGTTAAAAAAGACATCTAGGGTTAGTTCCATCACTTTTTGACATTGATGCAAAAAGTTATATCCTATGAATGACAGAATGAAAAGATAAAATAAGTCCTACTTCTTGGTGCCATATTTAAACCATAGATCTAGTCTTGGACTTCTTAGACCCAGATTTGTTATTTAATGAGGCAAACTCTTTCCACATTAAAGACACTATTGGTTTTTCTGTTGTTTGCAGCCAATATTAAATCTGTTACAGAATTTTAAGTTGTAGTTCTCTGATTTTGTAACTAGTCTATGTTTTTCCTATTCACTCTGTATGCTGAGGAAATAATTTGAGAAACTGGACTCTGTGAAGATGAATGCAGCATCATGATCTGTGGGAGACTCATCCATAACCTGTGTTATACAGGTGATGCAACCTTGCTTGCTGAAAGTGATGAGGACTTGAAGCACTGGTTGCAGAATATCAAGGAATACCGCCTTCAATGTGGATTGCATCTCAGTATCAAGAAAACTGATACCATTGGACTGATAGGTAATATCATGATGGATGGAGGAGAGATTCAAACTGTCAACAACTTCATCTTACTTGGGTCCACAATCAACATCATTGGTACCAGCAGTCAGAAAATAAGGAAAGACATTACAATAGAAATGTCTGCAGTTAGGGACCTCTCCAAATTATTGAGGAATAATGATATGAGTTTGAAGACTGAGGTATATCTGATTCGGGCCATTATCTTTCTGATCACTTGCTATGCATCCAAGAACTGGACAATGAATAGGAATAATAGAAGAATTGATGCCTTTGAACTATGGTATTGGAGAAGATTACTGATTATCACATGGACTATCAAAAGAACAAACACATATGTCTTGGAGAGAGTGTAGCCTGAGTGCTCTTTGGAGGCAAGGATGATGAGGCTTCACTTCACATACTTTGGACATGTTGCTAGGAGGGGCTATTCTTTGGAGAAGTACATGGATACCAGGAAGGGTAGAAGGCTGGTGAAGGAGAGAAAGACCCTCAACCAGAAGGATTGACACAGTGACTGCCACAATGGGCTCTATTGTGTCAGGAAGTGTGAAGATGGCACAGGAGAGAACAGGGTATAGATCTGCAATCCATAGGATCTCTATGAGTCATTCTTGACTCAACACCACCTAACTGCAACAACAATAACAATAACAACTATGTTTTCATTACTTCTTTTTTTGTACTGACCACGCTCCCTAGCATATCGCTGTTTGTTATTGCCGTTGTTGTTATGTGCCATTGAGTTGCCTGCAACTCACAGCAACCCTATGTACAACAGCTTTAAACTCTGATCTATCCTGTGCCAATCTTATTGTCTCCAATACACCTACACCCATGAGCCTTGTTACTGAGTCAATTCATTTCATCCAAGGTCTTCCTCTCTTGCACTGTCCCTCCACCTTTCCAAGCATGATATGCTTCTCCGAAGACTGGTCACTCCTGGCAAAACTCCCAAAGCATGTGAGACAGAGCTTCAAAATTCTTGCCTCCAAAAAGCAGCTCGGTTTTACTTTCTTTGGGATAGAACTGCTTGTTCTCTTAGCAGTCTATGATACTTTCAATACTCTTCTCCAGCACCACAACTCAAGGGCATTGATTCTTCTATCATCCTTAGTCATTGTCCAGCTCTTTCCTGCACTGCAAAGAATTGTTAAGATCACCACTTGGATGAGATGTCTCTAGTTTCTAGACTGATATTATTGCTCTTTAGTACTCTGGAGAGGTCCGTGACAGCAAACTTTCCCAGTGTAATTCATCTTTTGATTTCCTGGCTACTGGAACCAAAAGTGTTGATTGTGGAGCCAAGTGATTTGACAATCTCAATGTCTTCTCGGTCTATCAAGATACTGCCAATTGACCCAGTGGTGAGAATCTTTATCTTCTTGATGTTGCACCTCAATCCATATTAAAGGCTGCAGTCTTTGACCTTCTGCAGCAAATGCCACAGGTCCTTCTTAGTTTCAGCAAAAAAGGTTGTGGATTTGCATAATGCAGGTTGTTGATGAGTCTTCCTCCAATCCTGATGCCATATTCTTCCTCATAAAGTCCAACCTCCCAAATGATCTGTTGCACATATAGATGGAAAAGGCAGGGAAATAAGGCGCATCCCTGTATATATTTTCTGATTTTCTTTGCTGTGTTCTGATGACTGCTTCTTGATCCAAATATAGGTTTCAGTTAAGTAGTCTGGGATTCCCATTCTTCTCAAAGTTAGCCACAATTTGTTGTAACCCACAGTCAAATGCCTTGCATTGTAAATGAAATAGAGATAGACATTCTTC